TGAAAAACACTTCAGCGACCAGCTAAAAAGGTTTGAAAAGCTGAAGGAAGTCATTCATGAAGATGAGGCTGACATGAAAGAGCTGACGGATCTAGTGTAAAACTTTGTGAAGAAAGTGAACAGCCTTTAATGATTTGTGAATTGTTTTACTCAGTGTTGAATTTAATAATATAAAATAAAACTTTTTGATGCATAAAAAAAACAGCGAACAGCAGATTCCACAGCACCATTTCGATGAGGCGAATCAGCTGGTTGGATTTTCCACTGCCAGTCGGTTCCATTTTGAGCCGAAGCTTCCTCCACAATAGACCTGTCTACGTCATTCAGGAACTTGTATAGTTCTTCCAGGACAGATTTGGCACCGATGAAGTTGGTGCCTGGGTCAGACCAGATCTTCTTAGGATGCCCTCGAATTGCAGTGAACCTCTGGTACGCCATCAAGATTGCCATCTGGTACGCTCTGGTTCGTGGGCTGGCCCTAGCCCACTGTGCCCGCAAAAAGCCAGCATGGGCCCCGCATGGACATGTTTGCAGGGCAGTTGAAAAACACTTCAGCGACCAGCTAAAAAGGTTTGAAAAGCTGAAGGAAGTCATTCATGAAGATGAGGCTGACATGAAAGAGCTGACGGATCTAGTGTAAAACTTTGTGAAGAAAGTGAACAGCCTTTAATGATTTGTGAATTGTTTTACTCAGTGTTGAATTTAATAATATAAAATAAAACTTTTTGATGCATAAAAAAAACAGCGAACAGCAGATTCCACAGCACCATTTCGATGAGGCGAATCAGCTGGTTGGATTTTCCACTGCCAGTCGGTTCCATTTTGAGCCGAAGCTTCCTCCACAATAGACCTGTCTACGTCATTCAGGAACTTGTATAGTTCTTCCAGGACAGATTTGGCACCGATGAAGTTGGTGCCTGGGTCAGACCAGATCTTCTTAGGATGCCCTCGAATTGCAGTGAACCTCTGGTACGCCATCAAGATTGCCATCTGGTACGCTCTGGTTCAGTCACAGTGATAACTCCTCTTGATGGAACTGCCTCCCACTTTAGAGTTTCCAATATCTTACTTTGTGCTGCAAACTTTTTTGCTGCTATCCAGACCCATGCAACTGCACTCTTAAAAATAAAGGTGCTTCACGATGCCATAAAGAACCTTTAACATCTGAAGAACCTTTCTGTTTCACAAAAGGTTCTTTGTGGTGAAAAAAGGTTCTTCAGATTACAAAAAGGTAAGAAAAAGATGGTTCTTTAAAGAACCTTTGACTGAATGGTTCTTTGTGGAACCAAAAATGGTTCTTCTATGGCATCGCTGTGAAGAACCTTTTGAAGCACCTTTATTTTTAAGAGTGTGTCTTGACCAAATAAGTCAGAATGCTAAATCGTTTTCCATCCACCAGGTTTTGGATAACTAAACCAGCTGGCGGTCTTCTATGTCCTTTATCTGAGAGATCTTTTTTCACCTGAGCTCTTGTAAGTGCAGCACTAAACGATTTATTTTGCATCTTACCAATGCTCTCTTGGGCAGTTGCAGTCACATCTTTTGCAGATTTAATTGGCCACTCATTGACTGGTAGATTCAGAAACTTTGGCCCCTGCTGCCACTCTGAATCTTCCTCCAAGTCTTTTGGAGCAGCCCCTCAAGTAATAATATCAGCAATATTCAGTGGTCCAGGGACCCACCACCAGTCCTGAAGCCGTGTACTGCGTTGGATCTCTCCAATCCTGTTAGCGAAGAAAGTCTGGAAACCATAGCTCTCACACTGGATTACACCAAGGACTGTCTGGCTGTCGATGAAATGGTACCATTGTTTAACCTGGATTCTGCCATTTTGCTCAAAGTACTTCTTTAGACGAGCGGCAAAGACTGCCCCACAGAACTCTGCCTTGACTACGTCCCCTTTGTGGTCTAGGGGGGTCAATTTGGCTTTAGACTCCACTAGTCTCACTAGACTGTTTTTATTGTTCATCACATCATCAGCTGGAAAATGAAAGTGAAAGATTCTGAAATGAAAGATTCTGAAAGTGATTCCAACAATAGTTATCATATTTGGTGTGAATGGCCCTTAAGTGTTTTGAGATGATACTAAGCTTGTAAAATACATAGATGACAAGGCAGAGTATCTAGTGTATAATACATAATTCAGGATGCAAAGAAACTCTTTTGATTAACTATAACAAGATATCACAATAATGCACTGTGCTTTTGATCTTGCATTGAGGATGGGGGATGAGATCTCACCCAACAACGATTTTGTTATCTTCTTAGATTCACAACAGAATCTGTCATCTCTTGAGGCCTTATGGGATTGTGAATTGTCTGCTGGTTGCGCACTTGAGACTCTCTGCAGATGCAGTAGCTCATCTGTATATTGTTTGCTTAGCAGCTTTTCCATATAATGTGTAGCAGTTTATTAGGTGGCCGGGATGGTCCTCTTGATAAGAAGTGCATTTCTAAAGTCTCCTTTTGTGCCACTGGTTTTCTTCTTGTTTCCCAGTGTTCCTGTTCAGTGCACCACATCTGCCTTATCTGCTTTTTACCAGAGGGGCATTTATTTATTTGTGACAGCTTGGAAATTGGGGTCCATGACCATAACCAGTATAGACTTCAGTCTACCCTGGGCTTTTGCTGTTCACTCCGAATGTGCGTAATCAAGTTCTGTGTAAATGCAGTGACACCGTTTTGACCCCATTTACAATACCTAGGCCTCATCTGAGAGTGCTTTTGCTTGCAACTCAAATTTTGAAAGGTTTGACAAAACCATTGACTTTAGCGCTGACTCATTCTGTCATCATGTTGAGGGGAAAAAAGCTAAGAAATGGGGCCTCTTTCATAATCTTTGCTTTTGCCAGGCAATTTCTCCCTGCCCTGATTGTGTTGAGCTCCTCTGTAAATATTGCACAGTGTGTCTTCATTTGAACGATGCGACACCACTCACGGTGCCACTGGGAACATGATTAAGAGATTAGTTTCCTTGTTAGATGCTCTCTGAAGACAACAGCACAAAAGAAGCACAGTCGAGGTACTCGCTGTTCAATGCAGACTGCAATTTCCTCACGCCCAAGGGACACTTTTATGAGACTAGATTTTGTGTTGTCATGTTGGACCGAGAGCATCCCGAAAGCTTGATTACAGAATATGAGCCAGTCATGAAGCAGACAGACGGCCCCTTGCGGAAAACCCACTGCGCTTTTGGCCGATGGCACCCTGTTGCCGTAGTCTGGATTCTGCAATAGTTATGGCTTCGTTTTCTCTGGCGACTCTCCCAGCGTTACTCTGGCATGTATCGCGGGGCAGAATGCTTGGCTGTGTTCTGAATTGCTCATTACATTCCCAGAGGCAAACAGGCCAACCCAAAGATACAAACAAAGACAGATGCAGCCGACAGCAGGGGGTCCCCCGCCCCAACACACACACACAATGCACGGTGACTGCTCACATTTCTCTTGCAGCTAGGTTGTAGTCTTAAGACCCACTTGCTGATAGCAAGCCATTAATGCAGTGTGTTGAGAGTAGGGATGTGCAGAGCTGCTTATTTTTTTAAATCGAATACTTGGTCTTAAGGAAGCCTTGTATAATTTGCCTGGTTTTGGGTTCATTTGGTCATAGATTGGACGTGTTGTTGGGGGGGGATTTACTTTACATTCGAAAAGAGCTAGACTTATCAAAGGAATAAAAGATTTCGCAATAACACACTCTTTGATCATGGCAACAGCGGTTAGCAGTTCTATGCCATTTTTGTTTTACTTTACTTTTCCAATCTCCTTAGTTCCTTTGGCCTTATGGAGTAGAATGTTTTGCTAGCCTACTTGTTTAACATAGCAACAGAATTTTAAAGAGATTTGACTTAAGAGACGACTTTTCCCACAAAGCATTTACTGTGCTAACAGCTAAAGCTCAGCATGCTAACTGAAGCACCATTGTTAAAAAATATCAGTTACATTACCAAAGCTGCTAATGCTCAAACATTTTCTTTGTTTTTTTTCACTTAGCCTTCCTTTAGCAGGCTAAGGGCTTAGCATATAAACTTAGTATAATGATGATGATAATAAGAATTTTGATGAGCTCAAACAAGACTTTGTAATAACACACTGTTTTTGATCAGTCAAGGAAAAGAGAATATTGTACCCCGGCTAGCAGTTCTGCATCAATTTTCCCTTGACTTTTCCAATCTGTCATCTCCTCAGCTCATGTGGCCTTATGGGATAGAAAAAGTATTGCTCGCCTACTTGTTTAACATAGCAACAAGGCTTTAAAGGGAATGACTCATAGACAACTTTCCAGAGAAGCTTTGTCTGTGCTAACAGCTAAAGCACAAGATGCGAATTCGCGAACAGTCACTAAAAATATAAAAACTAAAGGAAAATACATATGAAAAATATCTACATAATTTAACTTCACTTATCGATGTGCCAGTTATTGACAACTAGTCCTGGAAGTGCATACTGTATATTTAGCTGCTTGTTGAACCAGTCTTAGTGCTCATCTCCACAACTTTGTCCAGGTGTACACTTGGTGGATAAATTAAACCTATTTAGGGTTAACATATTCATCCATATGAATAAAATGACGTGTTTGCAGAAAAGCATCAAAGTGAGTCTCCGAATTAACCAGGATTCCTATCTTTGCAGTGTGGCGGCTTGGTTTATTTATTTTTGAGCATGAACAAGTGGATATTAATTCATCTTGACTGTGGAGAGATGGCATGTTGTGTGCTCTGGAACCCCAGGATGTGTAAGCTTTTAATGAAGTGCTGTTAAAAGAAGCCAAGGAATGTCCCAGCGTCAAGCTGAATGTCAGCCGTGCTTACAAATCAAATCTGGCTATGTGAGCCAGGTTCTTGTAGATTACCTATTATGTAAATGTGCATTTATTTCTGCTTAACTTCTCTGCTACTAGTGCCACCACATGAAAATAATGATTATTTCTATGCAGGTTTCCTTGAACACTCCCTCCATCTGCAATTGGCTACATGCACAGATAGTCCCGCCCCTAAACTCACGCCATTGGTTGAGCTAATAATGGAGCATCAGGAAGGTCAGTATGTTTCCATTATTACACTTTTTGAGGTAATTTACAGATGACCAACTTATAGTTGTCTCCACATATTAAGCTGGGAAACAAGAAAGTATTTTGATGTTAAAAATGTATGTTTTACCTTCAAGGTTTTCATTCAGCCTTGCTATGCTTCTTAAAGGCAGCTGTAGTTCCAGTTTTGGCTCCAAACAGTGTAGCATTGGCATACGAAATACGTGACTCTAAATACATTTCTACAACACCGTTATTACGTACCTTACTGCACGTTTCGCCACAGTTTCAAAGTGAAATGTTCAGTGAGTGGCGCTAAAACAGGTTCAATACGTGACCCTGGCACTTTTTTTACGTTGATATAGGCACGTATTGACATTGCTTCAGGTACGTATTGCGGCAGTTCCTAATTCAAATATCCGGGGAGTGTCGCTAAAAGTTAATGATCTATCGTGTTGGAAATATCCCCTACACCAAACCCAACCGTAAACCTAACCGATAGTGTTAACAAATGCAATACTGATATAATTGAATTTCCTTAAATGCAGGTTTGAACTGTTTTGTTGAAGTATAGTTTCACAGGATTCATACCGGAGCTCTTCACCACTCAAGTGCAACTCCATACTGCGTGAGCTACCGAACAAACCTACTACATATGAAAACCCAAACATATGAAGCTGGATATGTGATGCTAACGTTCAAAAGTATCAGTTTTGAAATCTTGCAGCATGTTCAAATAGTTTTGAATATATAACATAATAATCCTCAAGTAATTGTGGGGAAATTAGGCTTTATTAATTGAAACTGTGGACCTGTAAATTGTGTGAAAAGAAATAAAAGTTGTTGGAGTTTTACTGCCTCTAGTGTTTATTTCAACTGTAAAACTGCAGCAATTCGTATGTATAGGTACGTTTTTTCAGTTTTGCAGAAATGTATTTAGACTAGAGGCACATATTTCGAATGAGCCTATGTTGTTAAGTAGATTTTAACAAAATTTAAAAAGAATGACTACTACTGTGCAGGTTTCCCCAAATACTTCCTCCATCTGCCATTGGTCACATGATCTCGCTCTCAAACTCATGCCATTGGTTGAGCCAATATGGCATTGGGCAAGTCAGTATTCTACAGTTTTTACACTTTTTGAAAGAACTTACCTACAGATGACTGACCTATAGTTGCCTGCACTTATTAAGCTGAGATACAAGAAAGTATTTTGACAAAAGTTGCACTTCAGATTTTCATTTAGTTTTCACTGCTATACATCAGAAGAAAGGCAGCTGTAATTCTAGTTTCGGGTCCAAGACAATGTAGCATTAGCAAAATTGTAATTAAGTAGATTCTAATTCATATTTTATATGATCTTGAAATTCCCAAGTTTCCAACTACAACTCTTCCCTAGAAATGTACAGGACGTCCATGGATAATCCTGTTGTAGCCCCTAGCATGTATTTTTAGCTTATAGCATGCAGTTAGCATTACCCAGATACCTAACTAATGAATGCAAATGGCTGTGTTGTCTTAGATTCGTACAGAGGAACAAAAGGTGACGTCATACTTCAGGAGAAGCTGGTTGTCTATTTATATTTGTTAACTCTGTGTGGCTGTAGTGTAATGTGCTAGCTGAAAATAGCATTCATTATTTGAAAGTAGCGACTCAAAGCGTGCAGTAGCCCCTGAGGAAGTGTTGGTCCACTGCGCTTGATTCATTCTGAACAGATCATCGCATATTTTGCCACCGTTGCTCTCTGAGAGCTTTCTAGTCTTGTGATGTTTGGCTGCATCAGCATTATTAGCGCAGGTGTGCGTGACTGATTCCTAACACTGCCTTTATCTGCAATCTCACCTTATTTCCACTTCACAGCATTATAAGTGTGTCAGGCTTCTGTATGATGTTTTTCCTCAAATTATCTTACCACATGAGGACACGCTCTTATGTGAGCCCTACATTAAAGCCAATCTCAACCTTTTCTGTGGTGTAAGTCCAGAATTGCAATGACTTGTAGCTTATTGGATTTTAAAAAAGGATGACCTTGGCTTCATTTTCCCACTCATGAAATTCATGAGCTCAAGTCTCATGGTCCTTGACCTCCTTTGGAATGATAAATCAGCATCTATAGTTCTTCCAATCAGAATATTCAAGGGAATATTTAAATATAAATGTGTGTAGTTGCATAACTGGAAGGTTCTCAATCCTCTTTGGTGTGCTCTTTTTGTTTATGGTAAACAGGAACGCTGCAGCCTTGCATATTGGATATGAAAAACATTTACACGTGGCTTTGTGGACATCATTGACCCTTCCCACAAGGCTATCTGTGAAAATTAAATGAGGTAAAACACATACACATCACTTTATATTAATAACCAATGTTTGAAATGACACTTAGAAATTTGTATAATTTATTTCTGTTGATTTGCTTGGTGGGAAAACGTTTAATTTCCTACAGTGCTTTTACTTCATTTATTGATATTTGTGTTTAGTATTTATTTGAATGATCAGAAGTGTAATTTGAGTGTAGTTTGTAAGAAAACATTGAATTTCTCAGTATGAATGACTAAACATTTAATAAATTAAGTTTACAAAACCTATTAAAAAATTATGAATTTATAATGAATTTAATTTGTATGAAATTGTGGTTTTATAACTACATGCTGCACAGCTCTATTATTAAAATGTCAATTTTGTCCAAATACACAACCATTATATTATTAAATTCAGAAAATTGTGTGTATATGTGTGTGTATATATAAACACTTTTCTGAATATAATTCTGGAAATAGCACTGGTAGTTCTCTCTCATTGGGGTGCCCTTTGGCTTTCTGTCTTTCTCACTTCCTCTTCTCCTCCTCTTTCACTGCCTTCGTAGGGACCCATTTGGACCTGGTGGGACTCCAGCTATGCTCTGTATGACTTCAATCTCAACTGGCTCTTTGGTGTTGGTTTGGTCTGTCTCATGCAAACCTCTCTTTCTCACACACACACGCATACTAAGGGTGCAAATTAGGTCTTGCTCTGGCAATGTCATTCACCGCTAAAAGAAGAACGCCCTAAGTTCAGCATGGTCAACTTGAGGTCTGAGTGACATCGAAAATTTGAGTCACTTCTGCCTTTCTGCCTCAGCATGTCACTTTGTATTATTGTGTAATGCATCTCTGCCAAACTATGGCACGTTAAAATGTGAAACGCTACACTATTTCCCTTGGCAGTACCACGGGAACAGGCTAGTTAGCCTCCAACTGCTGGAATCAGGGGTGGGGAGTAACTGTCTAAACCCTGATAGCACACGTACATCACGGAGATGTCTATTTGACGTCTGCATTTACATCTGCAAGACGTATTGTTTAGAGTGTTTGCTCATCTGCAATACGTCTATAGGACATTTTGTCTTTAAGATGTTTATGATACAATGTATGTGAAACTGACATCTTAAAGACGTCCATCAGATGTTTGTACACAGCAAATGCTTTCCAGATGCAGTGATCTTTGACTGATATTTTGCAAACGTATTCTGGGAAAGTAGGCAGTGACCTTACCAAATTAACTACATTACAGTTGTTTACAAAACAGTATAGCTCTTCTTGTAAAAAGCTACTTGTTAGCAAGCTAAGCTAGCAAGCTGAGTGTGCAACATTTGCTAAATATTTACTAATTTAATTGTAATTCTAAATATTAATTATAATTAAGTACATTATTACTTGTTCAATGGTGCACAACTCCTGGCGCTAGTAGCAAACAGGCTAGTCAGTCCTCCAACCTTACTGGAAACAGTGTTGGGGAGTAAAAGTAGTTAAGCTACTAACTTTTCAGTGGTGTGACAGTAGCTCAGCTGTTTTAAACCACATAGCTCCTCCAGCAACAAGTTACCTGCTAACAATATGCAATCAAAATATGTGACTCTGGACCACAAAACCAGTCTTAAGTCACTGGGGTATATTTCTAGCAATAGCCAAAAATATATTGTATGGATCAAAATGATTGATTTTTCTTTTATGCCAAAAATCACTAGGATATTAAAGGGGGGTGGGAGAGGGGGTACAATGCTGTTTCATGCGTTCAGAGTTGTTTACACTGTTAAAGAGTTGGATTCTCATGTTAAGCATGGGCAAAGATTCAAAAAACAATTTGGAAGAATGAGAGTATTTCTGTGCCAAAAATCTTACTTCCGGGTTCGTACAAGTTTCGGAGATTTTTTCGATCGTGGCTCTTCATGACGTAAACGAGGGTGGAACTCCTTATATGGGCATTTCTCCCGGAAGAACGCACCCGCGCATGCATCGACCAGAGCTAGATCGCGCCCATCAATGCTTCATTCAGCAGCGCTGCACGGGACTCGCTCGGGAAGAATGTCTCCAAAGAAGTGTGTTTTTGGTTGTGAGGGACAGATAACTTTGTTCAGCTTCCTAAAGAACACAGCGTTATGTAAACAGTGGATGCAGCTTGTTTTTCCAGGGCAACAACTGAGTTTCACAAGTGTGTTTGTTGACAAACGTTTTATAAACAAGGCGCAGTTCGACGCTGTATTAGCACATTGTTTGATACTGAAGGATGGAGCGGTCCCAGCTATAAAAGATCCCGGTCATGATTCAGAACTGCAGACTGTAAGTGAAACTGCATCAAATGTCTGTGTTTTGTTGGAAATCGGGCAAGTGCTCGTCAATCTTTAGCTCCGCCCACGGCACGCCTCCAGGAGCTCGGCTGTTTCCTGAGAGAATGGTAAAGCGGTATCTTTCTTTTATAAATATAATAAAACTAAAGACTTTTTGGAGATATGAAGGATGCAATACTACTCTATAGGTACTCAAGATTAACATTTGTGTGTTATGTCACCTTTAAGTAAAGAACATGTTCCATGAAGATATTTTGTAAATTTCCTACTGTAAATATATTAAAACTTAATTTTTGATTAGTGATATGCATGGCTAAGAACTTCATTTGCACAACTTTATACTCAATATTTAGATTTTTTTTGCACCCTCAGATTCCAGATTTTCAAATAGTTGTATCTCGGCCAAATATTGTCATATCATAACAAACCATACATCAATGGAAAGCTTATTTATTCAGCTTTCAGAGGATGTATAAATCTCAATTTAGAAAAATTTACCCTTATGACTGGTTTTGTGGTCCAGGGTCACATATTTAATTGTTATTAAAGTCAACACAATTTCCTGTGGTTAGTAGCAAACCGGCTAGTTAACCTCCAACTAGTGGAATCAGTGTTGGGGAGAAACTGACTCAGCAGGCAGTAGGCAGTGACTTTACCATCTTAACTACATATTTAATTAGCAAGACGATTTCAAGTTTTCCTTTCTCTTTGGAGTGTTACAAGCTGATTGTGCGTAGATAAAGATCCCTGAAGTTGCAAAGACTAAAGTCACAAAACCAAAGAGATATTCTTTATCAAAGTTAAGACTCTGCCACGCCCCCCTAAAACGGCTACTTCTAACACGCCCCCACATATCTAGGTCACTATGTGGGAATATTTGCATAATGCGCCCAAATGTGCACGCAAAGAAAGAAGGCGTGGTTTCAGTAACCGCAGTTAGTGTTGAAGCAGCCAAGTCAGAGAGACGCTGTGTGTTTCTAGGCGAAAGCAAAAGCACTTTATTTGGCCTTCCGAAAGTAGATGCATTTAGGAATCTTTAAAGGGTTAGTTCATTGCAAAATGAAAATTATGCTGTGTTTCACTCACCCCCGAAGCATCCTAGGTGTATATGACTTTCTTCTTTCAGACGAATCCAGTCGGAGTTATATTAAAAATTGTCTTTGATCTTTAAATCACTTACAACAGAATAGCAATGCATTTTATGGACGACCGTTTCGTGAATCTAGGAGAGGAGGTAATTCTGACTTTGCTATGACAATCTGGCACTTCTGAATCAGCTACTGTTTTGTTATTAGTTTAAGTATTTGCTATTGACTGTTCAAATGCGGAGTTTTGCGCATCGTGTGTGTGTGTGAGAGAGAGAGAGCGACAGGGTCACATCACAGCCCCGTTACACGGCTGTAACGGGGCTGATGAGACGTGAGACGTGTGGATCCATCTGCAGGCTTTATTCAAGTTTATTAATGGTAAACAGGCAGGGTCAAAACAATGGCAAACAGCACCAAATACACAAAATAATGATCTTTAAAAAAGCATCATATGACCCCTTTAATTGTTCTTTAATGGTGCACAACTTCCTGTGTCACTAGCAAACTGGCCCTAACTCCAGCTATAGTGGAACCAGTGTTAGGACGTCACTTACCAAAAGTAGGCAGTGACTTTACCAAATTTCACTTACATTGAAGGGGTCATATGACGTTGCTAAAAAAAACATTATTTATTGTATTTGGTGTAATGCAATGTGTTTATGCGGTTTAAGGTTCAAAAAACACATTATTTTCCATATAATGTACATTATTTTTTCTCCTCTATGCCCCGCCTTTCTGAAATGCGTCGATTTTTACAAAGCTCATCATTCTAAAAAAGCGAGGTGTGCTCTGATTGGCCAGCTATGCAGTGTGTTGTGATTGGCCGAATACCTAAAGCGTGTGACGTAAATGTTACGTCCCTTAACATACTGTGATGCCGTCTCCCAGCTGGACGAGACAAAACCAATAAACTCTAGTTGTGTCCTCTTTTGGAAGACCAAACAAAGTAGTTTCGCTTTCACAACGAAACACACTGCGACTCCACAACATGACAGCGGTGGCAAAAGCAAGAATTAAAGTTATACCTTCTTTCTTTGCGTGAACATTTGGGCGGCATTATGCAAATCTTCCCACATCGTGATGTAGACATGTGGGGGCGTGTTAGAACTTATAACTTTTATAAAGAATATCTCTTTGGATTTGAGACTTTAGTCTTTGCAACTTTACAGATCTTCTTTATGCACCAAGAGCTTGTAACACTCCAAAGAGAAAGGAAAAATTGAAATTGCATCATATGATTCCTTTAACAAGTTACATGCTAACAAGCTAACTCCTGTGCAGCATATTACCATATTATTTCAGCAAAAAATGTCATCTAATTTTAAAAACTGCATTCATTGCAAGTAGCTTCTTTTTCTTAGTGACTTGTAGGTAACTATTTTAGCATTTGTCATTTAACTGCTTTAAGTTATGATTAGCATGTAGCTTGGCTAGTTACAGTTTCAGAGATCCTTCAGACTGGAACTACAATGATCTCTTTATAATTAATGTTAATTAACACACAGTGCCTCCTAGTGACTCAGATTACCCAACACAATGTCAGGTCACCATATGCAACAAGCCATCTAGCATTGAGCATGATAAGCTCAAAGATGTTACTCTTCTTGATGCTTCTCAATGTTCTGTGGCCACTTTATCACCTTGAAAGCATTTTAACAGGGTTTAGCACTCTGAGGGAAAACACATGTGTCAAAGTGACCTCCTCCAAGTGCCATGGGAAGACCCTTGCCTTCGCCACATCGAGTGTCCCTATCATGAGTTTATTTTGCTGCGAGCTGTTCTCACTGTTCTCAGTAATGCAGATGGTCTCACCGGACGGTGTTCAAACACGTCCAGGTGCCCTCTTGCCGCCCTCCACCAAGGTTTGTTGCTTCAAATAAAGCGTGACGCACTCAGGCACTTTCACATCTCGGAAAGGTCAGTCAGTCTTTTTTTCCTTGAAAACAAAGACAAAGCATGTTTTTCTTCTGCTGCCCCAGAATTCCCTTGTCTCCTCACTGTTCTCTAACCATTTTTCACAGCTGCCACTCAAACCAAGCCATCTTAGAGCTTTTAATGCTCAGGCTGGGGTGTGTGAGGGTGAGGAGGTTTTCAAAAAACACCCACATCTAAGGCTGGCTAAGGCCATTAGGAGCAGAGACAGCTTTGCAATGTGTGCATTGTTATCTGGTTATTTTTAAAGAAGGTGCCACATTCTTTGGACTCAACACTTCAAGGTGTCTCAATACAGTATTCTGGACAGACACTGAATATGATTTAGTTGTCTAGTCTCTCTGACTTTATGTCTTTAAAGGACAC